ATTGTCTTCATTTGAAAAGCCTTTTTTCCTTCTTTTTTTTTTTTTTTTTTTTTTTTTCCAATGAGGATGTGAGTGAAGGTATTACAAGGGGATGGCTACTCCAGGTCTCTCTCCAGAAGTCCGCTGACTCACAAGCACGTTAGCATGCAAATAGAGAGGAGGGAAGCAGCTGTCTGCTAGAGGTGTGTGACAGGGGACTGGGAAATAAAGACAAGCTGGGGAGGGAACCACACTCCTCCTGCTACTCTAGATGTCTTCTAGAAAAAAGAAAAAAAATAATCCAGCTAAGTCAAAATCACATGCTAACAAGCATGACTTTAGACAGCTGTGCAGCCTCGTGTGAATTGGTACAAGTCACGGGTACAACACTGGCACCAAATTCCCACTGCAGATAGCACGGACACTAGATGCTTTTCACTGAAATTACTGGTGTATACGCATGAGTGAAATGAAATCCACATATACTAGCAATATATTTTCTAACCTGATGATTTTCAGCTTTGGTTCTCAAGTTTCCTTCTCAAATCCCCAAGAGTCCATGGGTGACCACTGAGAACTTGCTGACAAGTGGATTAAAGTCTCAGTAGTGATCTGCACCTTTGCTAGGAAAGTGAAAGGTCAGCAAATAAAAACTGAAGATCAGTTATAGCTTTTTTCATCCTTGTAGTTATAATTATAGTACAATTTTAGTACAAACGATTACCATAACATTGATAAGCTGATTAATAGAACTGCACAATGATGTAGTTTTAAAATAATAAAATAATATTTAGATAAAATTTGAACTCAGCTGCTTTACCACATAGATACGTTTACAGCCCTTAATTACTCTGTGTGTCAAGTTCCACTTACAACTAACAATATTTATTTTAAGACTTGTTCACATGGCCAGATAGGCTTGAAAAGCTTTTTCAGAGTAAAATGATCTGTGACAAGCACTCAAGGATAGTTCCCCATGCATTCCCAAGGGCACGCCCTGAATGCACAGAGTATTATTTTGGAGTAAAGAGTACCTGCAAATGGAACAAGTGCAGCCACAGCAAGTCCAGGAGGAGGGTCTACAGTCTCCTGCTTTGACACTACATGTGAGAGATGCTATTTGTCCTTTTCTCTCTCATTGGACAATTACTATACCACGATGCCCTTTGTCTTTCTTAAAACAGCACTAGTAATTTGTGTATCTGCAATGCTCCCTGCATAGGATGAGCATTCACGTGGGCCCTTTTGCACCGGAGCACAGAATCCTCCTTTTCAAGCCGCCTTACTCGCAGGAGGAGGTGACCAGACTTAGACCAGACGGTTATTGCACCGAATAGCACTGCCGCGGTTCAGTGTGCCTAAACCCCCCTCTAAATACACTAAAGGAGCTCCTCTGAAAGCTGGTTGAGCAGCCACCTCGCATCCAGGAGCGGAGCCGGGTTCTGCCATCTCCTCCACACTGGCACCGCACCACCAGATAAAACTGAGGGCAAACAAAGAGTCTGACCAGGCTAGCTCGCTGCTCCTGGAACAGGGAACACCGAGGGTGCCACGGCACAGCCGGAGGGGAGTGTGAAGCTGGGGCACAGTCAGTCCTGCATGGTTTGTATTCAGTGCCTCCCCTGGCCCCAGAAAACCTCCCTTCCAAGGCCAGAGAAAACTCTGCAAGGAAAAACTCTCCTAGTAGGGGAAAAAGGTTTTCCTTTGTTGCTCATCCACTACAAGAAAAACTTACTCATGCCTTCATATATTTTAAAGCTAGAAATGGATATTATAATCATATTGCTGAGCTCCTTCAAAACTGTTAAGAAGACAGTCCCCTTCCTTTCACTTCATCACTCAAACCCCCTGCATTTTAGGCAAACAGTTCCATTGGAAGGAGGCTGTTTTCAGACTGAGCCCCAAGCTCTGGATATTTGCAGCAGAGCTCCAAAATACCATACCACCACCCACTTTGAAATGGCCTCTGGCTCTGAAGAATTAGGTAATTCAATTACACAAATGCCCCTTTACAAGAAAGTAGAGAAGCCTGTTGCCCTTCTGTATCCCCTTGCCCATGGCAATTGCTTACCACCTCTTTTCAAACGTGCTATTAGAGCTAATTACAAACAATCAGAGAACTCAACGGCTGCAGCTTTTCTGTGACACTAGTGAACCACACTTTTGAAACTGCAGTACCACTGTTCAAAACAAAAAGCACAGGCTCTGGACCACTGCAGTCCAGAAGTGTGTGGTTATTCCCAGAATTAAAGCGGTTTCGAGCATGCTACAGCAATGAGAGGAGCCAGGTGACCTCTCCTCCTGCTCCCAAGCTCTCTGTTTATCAGCAAAGAGCAGTAAGTTCACTCTTGCAGAGCCTCCTGATCCAGAGACTTCGAGTACTTTGACAACAGATAAGTAAAATAAGGCAGCAAACAGTGACTAAGGCACATCTACAGGCACCAGTGAACTGGTATGACTTGCTCCGGGTCATCTAGCAGAGCACCACCTACACGGTCTGCTTAGGGCAGCTAAATCCTTTAGCACACTCCAAGAGAGCCAAAATGGAAGAGCATTTATTAAAAAGGTAATAGAAGAGAGCATAAATCTGCCGTGCTGTTTGACTAACTTTTTAGAAGCATACTAAAACACAGGCAATTTTAAAAAAAAATTGGTCTATAACATTTCTCTCCTTCACTACCTGCTCATAACCCTCATATTTCCTAATTTATTCTTTACCTCTTATGCTGCCTGCATGCAGGTACTGCTGCAAAATTAAACAAGACACAAAATCACCCAAAGACCTGAGCAGCGGGTAGAAATCACAGAGGCTGCTTGCAGGCCGGGCTCTGGCAGAGGTGCTGCATGCAGCCTGCGACGGGAACCTCTGCGGAGAGCACATCGCTCTGAAATAACAGCGCCACTGATTCAAGTCACCAGAGATTCCCTTACACTTAACCCACCGTTCTTTATAGCCTACACATTAACTGATAGTGCATTTGGTAATGTATAATAGCAGGTGCTGCGGTGTTTATGGCCTGTTAGGAAGCCAGAGTTTTTCCCCCTCTCCCTTTTTCTTCTGGTTGCTCTTAAAATTCCTTCTGCTCTTGCTTTGGATGTGAATTCTTACAGGGTAAAGGTCATAATAAAAAAAAAAAAAAAAAAAAAAAAGACAAATAAACATTAGGTCACAAAGTCTTGAAATGCTATTGCAATTTATATATGGCTGAGAATAAAAATGTGTCTGCCTTGTCTGGGAACACACCTACGTGCGAACAGAGACCTTTATAAAAAATTCTCCTTTATTACCTTGGTGGGGAAAAAAAAAAAAATCAAAGATTGATTTTCTTTTTATGGCTATTATTAACCTTTTGTTACTGGCCAAAAATAATCTGGTTAGAAAACGTGCAATACATCAAAAAGAAAAAAAGAAAAGAAGAATATAACAGAAAATTAATGTTCAGGGGAAAAAATAAGATGACTCTCCCTTCAGCCTTTCCTTCTAAAAGTCAGACTTTACTCCCAAAGAAATGAGACAAGCATCAAAGAGAAGTGACTTTTCAGACTACTGCAGCGGTACAGCATCCCAGACAGAACCATATCCCAGGCTGCCAGAGCAAAAGGGACAGGCAGGTGTTTCTGCCAACTCCTCCCCGATTTTCATGCAAAGCTGTTCCCGTATGTATCCGACATGTCACTTGCCAGTTCTGACTGAAAGGCGACGATCTAGTCTGACAGCAGGGCTCCACTGTCCTCTTCTACGTAAGGAAAAGCTCCTATAAAATCTACTACAACAGAAATCCCTGAGGTCTAAGCATGAGGATACGTGTCTCACCAGCTACTGTGGAGCCACGCTTGCTCATACTCATCCCACCTGCAATCCTGCCGAGGCAAGGGCAAGAAAGACCTTTTGACAACGATTTCCTGTGTGTGTAAATACCAACACAGCTATTCGTAGCCTGTGAACACTACAGGTCTGCCGATAAGCCTTCACATTGCAACTGTGTTTAAGGTCCACCTCTTAAAAATTCCTGAGGCATTTATTGCAAGGCTGCTTAAGATGTCATCGGTAAGAGCTAGCAAATTTGTCAGCAGAGGTGTATCTATGTCCAAACTGGGCAGGAGAGCAAAGCCAGTAAGTGCCACACTGATAAAGAGCAGTCAATCATAATTTGACAGAAACAAGCTGGACAATTATTTCCGAACACGATCGCACTTACACAGGTCAACCCTTAATTACAACAAGCTGACAAAACCAGGAGCACAGGCAGACTCAAGCTGTCTGGAACGAACCACCTGCAAAGCGGTTGTGGAACCAGTGCAGTTCACAGCCTGGTCTATTAAGGTGCCCTAAAACTGCTCCTAGTTAAGCTCAGATACATGGGCTGCAAAGCGCAGTGGCTAAAAATCTGCTTTATGTTCAGCCAAGTCAAATTGTGCTAGAAATGGTGACCCCCAAGGGGGTGAGGTGGGGATGGAAACGGCACAAGCTCTTTGGCTTTGCCCTCAGTCAGCACTGAGATCCTACTGTAGCTATCATGTGCCCACCCCACCGTGACCTGAAGCATCACCTACCCCTGCAGCATGCTCTGCCAAAAAAAGGCATTTATCGATGCTTTTCTGCTAGGCAAGGTGGGGTTCTCTTTCCAGTAGTCCACAAAGTTCTGCTGAGAGTGTAGTGTTACAAAAAATACACTGGAAAATGCACTTATGTAGGATGCTACCAAACACCCTGTAAGCAGGAAATCTCTCTTGCCATCAGTACCATGAGTCACACTGGAAGCCACAACCAGGTGATCAGAAAACTTTACTGCAGGGAGAAGTTTCAGCAAGAACTGAAAAAGGCCCCTTATACTATGTATTTCATGCAACCAAATTCTGTTATTTTTCTCAGGTTACCTTTTTTGGATGTTCTTCTCTGTGATAAGTGCTCTGAGAGAACTTGCTATGGAGTTTTGGAAGAAATTCAGTTTCACAAGAAGCATTTGTTCAGGAGGCTACATAACACATCAATCAAATTCAACTTTTTATTCCTTTCTTACCTGGCTGTTAACGTCAGCAGCATGCTGTAAAAGTACTGAAACCAGCTCCTTGTGTCCTCTGTCACATGCCCAGTGGAGCAGAGCCCGGCCCTGCAACAACCAGGAGAAAATTAACAAAGCCAGACAAAAAAAAAGCATAGAGAATCACAGTCTTGCTATTGAGTACCAATAACAAAATTAACACAGACTTAAAAAACCCCTGACACTAATATTAGTATGTAACATACTAATGCTTCTGATTTGGATTTATAAAATAATGCTAAAAATGTTAAAAGTGACACATAGTTCAATTTTTCATTCATTTAGCATCAAGCCTGCAAGCCAGCAAAAAATGTAGAGGGGAAAAGCAGCGAAGCATGAAAAGCAGTAGCCATGACATGTTTTGTTTTCCTATATAGATTTGGGATTTTGACACCTCTGACTTTTCTGGGAGCAACGACTTACACAGCATGGGTATGAGTCTCAATGCTGCCTAAGTCACCCCGATGCCAAGTCCCAAGAAGCTCATTCCTATGGCAGGTCAGAAACACAACCCACGGGCCCTGCCTCTGCTGCAACAGAAGATTAAAACGGCGCCTGGGCAGGCACCACCCCTGACGTTCCCCCTCTCAGCGCTGCAAGACTGGCTGCTGCATCCACGGCCTCTCCCAAACTTCCACGGTTTTCTTCCCATCCCCTTTCTACAAGTCTCTGCACACTTGAAGCGTCTCTGCACGGCTCTGACACCACGGGAGGGGATGCAATGGAAGTTCAGATCTTCCTGCCTGTCGAGGACATGGGAGGTGGCGTGGGACCCCTCTGAGGGCTGACACCCACATCTGAAAACCCAGCTGGCCTCGGGGAGGGCTGTGGAAGTAGTGAAGCGAAGCCAAGGGTTTGGGGCTGGGTTCATGGGTGACTCTGATTCCCGGCTAGGACAGCCAAGCCTGTGAAAGGTAACGCTTGGTTTTGCAACAGGACATCACAGCAGAGCTGTGATACAGTTTCACGCTTTAAAAGCCCTGCGCTGAGGCTGGAGCACTTATTTTCTTACAGTGCAAAAATACATTAAGAGCAGTAACAGAGCCTTTTGACAAGCAGCTCTAAGGCATTTTCTATAAACTATAGAAGATTTTATATATTGGCAACTCCAAAGAGAAAGGTAGCTCAAAGTAGTTTGAGATAGAACGTTTTCTTCTTTGTTTATCATGTACGCTTAATAAATTAGACTTACTGTCAGTATCAGTGCCTCCTGATTTAGGACAGCACGTGGCACACTTGCAGGGGATTCCTTAGGAATCACCCTGCAGATAACCAGGAAATTATCCCCCAAGCCATGACACCGTCAGACCGACCTGTGTTTTCCAGTATGCTACACAAAACAGTCACAGGCCTTCACAGATGAAATCAGTTAAATTAGCCCATGCCTGGTTATAAATCTCTCGACAGAGCAGTGGGGAACAAGGTGAGCAACTCATTTATCTGCTAATGGGAACTGTGAGCCAAATTTCCTGACCACGGTGCCAAAACAGCAGGAGGGACAGAAGACACCTGCAACTGAAGCTCATGCTGCTTCTGCGGGGTATTCTTGGGCAGGGCAGCAGAGGCGGAACGTGATTTTGAGTCAGGAAATGCAATGTCAGACACAAGGCATTAAGCTTTTTAACACACTTTTTGACCCAGCAAGTAATTAATTTTTGTAACACATAATTTTAATGTTACACTAATTAACCTTGAATTAGAATGAATTTTCTGACAATGACTTTCTATGGAAGCACGGATGACATCCATAGGCCATTTAATGATTAATGCTCTTGCACTCAACACCACTATCAAAGTCTAAAAGGGGGAAAGAGTAGAATTTAAAACAATTGGTAAACATGGAAAGATCTTTAATTCATGTTTAGCTTCTTTAACTCATCTCTGGACTGGTAGTTACTTAAGACTTAGGATTTCAGTTGGACAAATACCAACTTTTTTGTGCCACAGATGTTTATTTCACAAGAAAGAAGCACTGTCTGCAATATGCACAATAGCGATAAACACTTCAACAGATTATTTCAGTTTCTTTATATATAGGTAGAGGAATAATATTGCAATTACACAAGTGTAATTATTGTGCAATTACACAACAAAACAAAGGCATTTCTATCCTTTACATCAAAATTCACGTTACAGATTCATGGCTGTAACACGTTGGTTTGCATTTGTCTCTGGACAAACAGATTCTCAATTTATTGGTGCCAAACTTGGCTGAGACCAATAAAGGAAAAAAACAACAGTTCGGGAGGGACGGTGCTGCCAATTCTGTCAGCTCAGGGGTGCTGCAGCACTGTGCAAGTGGTCCCTTCCCATGACACTGGAAGACTGGTTCTGCTGCAAATGTTGCCTTTTGAACAACACAAGAAACTGAAGCCTGATCATCTATAGTCATTAAAAATCTCCTTGTGCTATTTGCAGGAGTATGGATTTCAAGACTTGGGCCAATTCCACTTTGGGTAATTACACTCTGCTTATCTATATATTTTCTCTGCAATTCTAAATGGATACAATATTTTCCAATTAGTGCCTTAAATGGCTCTGCATTGTAATTGTGCACTATTAAAATGCTGACACGTTCCACCCAAGAAATGTCTTTATCTTTGCAGCATGCTACGCCCTAAACACATGGTATAAGGGAATTTGGAGACCTTCTGAGCAAGAGCACATCACTTGATGTGGAAGTAAAAATACCTGCAGAAGAATATCAACCTACTTAATATATAACAAAAAGCATTACTAAGAAAGTTCTTTGTAAACCAAGGTAATATTCACTACTGTCTGCATACTATCAGGTAAATTAAAACACTCAGGAGTTCTAGCTAATGTATAGGCTGCTATACAGCTATGAAGTCCACTTGTTTCCCATGTCTTCCTGAAAACAAACCTTAGCGATAAGACAAACTTGAACTGAATGTACAATTCAATTATTTGTATGGCATGGATATCACCTACACATGTTGAAGAATTCTTTAGTCTGCACAGCTGTTGCTTTATATGAGCATGTAACATGCGTTTGTGTGTTTAAATAACATGGCAGAAATCTTAAGAGCCACAGACTGATCTTTCCCAAAACACTTCCCATATGACTATTTCATTAAGCAGTGAGAGACTCAAAGCAAGATGAATAATTTCGTATAGGAAAGCACTGCAGTACTGAGGTCTTGACTAAATGTAATCAAACATTAAGGTACTCCCTCCACGCAATTCAAACACACAACAGTTGTTGCAGAAGTTACTTGAGAGGATGCATTTCCCCCTGCCTTTGAAGTATTAAAAAAAAAAAGCATAAAAATAGCCCCAGTGCACTAACCCTGCCTCTTAAATCTTCTGTGCTTTGCTTGGATAACCGCTGCCAGCTTGGCCAGCTTCTGCAGCAGTTTCTCAAGCCAACAGCACATCAATTTTGCTCAGCTCCAAGTCACAGGGTGTTCACAAACAAAGCACAGGACAGGGATTTGTCTCAGATATACCAAGTCTCAGCAGACAAACGGATGGGAATGATTTTCACATCAATTAGCCAGTGTAGAGAAAGAGAAGAACAAAGCCAAACTGAATGGATGTACTACAATATGAAGCTATACTTCTAGGCACGATGTTTGCAGCTGTAATGGCTGTATAGCAATGAGAGCCACTCTAACTTGTGGCAAGGGTTTTAGTACTAGTAATTAAGAAGAGAACGGCTGCACTGCCCCCCATGATAGCAAAAACAGTGAATGGAAGGGCCGTTCTTGCAACTATACAGGTAAACTTCAGATTTAATTTGGAAGTCCTTCACATTCAGAGGTCTAAAACATTTGGGGAAGTTCTTCTCAGGGGAGTAAGCCTGTAAATCCAGAAATATGTGATTCTTCTGCAAACCCATTTTTTTCCCCTGTCCTCTCCCTGGCAAGATGACACCAATTTGGCACTTGCTGTCTCAAAAGCACGAGGATCGGGGACTAAACTAGCATCATTTCAGATGCCTTTCATTAAAGTTTTGGCAGCGACTTAAATATACTACACAGGTAACATGTTTGTTTACTGGGATTTCTCCAACAATTAAAAAAAAAATTCTCTATCTATAACCTCAACAGCCCTTGGAACAAATTACAAAAGCAACTCATCTATGCCTTTGAGCAGTTTCTGGTCTGTTAAAATTTGAAGAAATACTGCTCTCAAAAAGGCAGCAAGCAAAGCAATCCACACTACCAGGATGTGCCTGTGGTGACTTCACAGCCACAGTCCATTTCTTATTTCATTAGTCCTGCTGACATACATAAGAGAAACGGGTTGTTTTAGTCTGTGCTGCTACTTCTAAGTGAATGCAAGCTATTCTGCTGAACTCTGGGCAATTTAGATACAGTAAATGGAAGCTTGTACATGATTACTGTCATTAGATTCTTTGTTTAATTCTAAATTGAAGTTTATTATATCCAAACTGTTAGCAGGTATGCTGGCTTGCATGCTGTACACGAAGATCTTTATTTCTTATGGGGAGAAGACCACTTATGCTTTGAAAGTTGCCAAGTGCATCTATCTAAACACCAGAGATTTCTATTGCCCTTTCTGAAATACTTTTGCTTCGAGTAAGTTGGCTTGTCCTCATTTTACATTTTAATTCTTGATTTATTTTCTCCTCTTGCTAACCTATTTCAGGTTTGCACAGAACCAGGGGATACAATTAGAGACAGTATTAACGCATCACACATGAATAAAATCTAAACACCTTACAACCTCAGTCAAGTCTTTATTGTACAAGGAAAGGCTGAGCCTAGTGTCTTTGCAGATTAGCATGAGACTGTTTGGTGCTTCACTAGATTTTGTTTTATAACAAGTTAACCCTTTGTACATATCCCTGCTGCCATTTTAAATTTATATGCATTTAAATCAAAGGATCGACAGCGTGAGTTATGTTCATAGGGCTAGGAGAGGCATCTTTTGGATATGGCAGGATGTATTTATACAGTAACACTAAAATAGTTAATAAAAATGACAAGATTATGCTTGCATACACTTCACTCTACTAAAAGCTCGGTCTGGGTTATCTCTAGTCTAAAATGGGTTCTAAAACATTAATCAACCTGCACGATATTGGAAAATAAGCTACCCTCCAGATTGTGAAGAACATGTTTGGGTACCAAACAACTTCATTGGTAATGGTGTCAGCTCCTTAACATAATATGAAACAAGTACTTATTTCAGATTTTTCTTTGTTGTTTTTTTTTTTTTTTTTTTTTTTTTTTTTTTTTGACCAATTAGAATCAGGCCTAAGGAAGCCACCATTTGCCAAAAAAAAAAAAAAAAAGGTTCTTTCTTCCCTGTTTGCACATTTGCCGTTGTAAGCTAAAATCACTGAGTCTGTGGGAATTTCATCTATGAGGGAATTCTGCACCTGTGGGAATCTTCCCTTGACAGGTAGGCAGGGTTTTCAGCTCCTCTCTGTGCTGAAGCAATTCTATACTCTGCAATAGTCACGTGCTAATACTCATTAGTTCAGAAGTAGGTCTTCTCTTACATCAGAGACTCAGGGATAATTCCGAAAGGGAATGTCACCTGTCAGTTTTCACATCTGACTCTAAACATTTATGTTCTTAAAGCACAAAAATATTTCAGCCATCTTTAACCAAGTGTCTTGATTTTTAAAAAACAAAATTTCTTTGGCTGAAAACAAGCACGTTTGTTGCTTGAACACAAAGGAAGGTACGAGCTTCTGAACTCTGCTAACGACAAAAGAGCATCTTGCCAGTGGAAATGAAGCAATGCTAACATGATGTTACTATACACTTATTGAAAGCATGTGATCCCCAAAATTGAGCCTTTATTAATGAAAGGTCTCGAGCCATGTTGTGTGGGACTGCCCTGGATATTTACTTCTGTAACCTGAGATCGGCAGAAGGAGGGATGAAGCTCAGTAATGGCGCTGTTGCAGTGACTGCGTGGCACATGACAGTTTCAGTTCATTGAATTTATGATGTGAAATTCCAAGCCTGATCGTGAACACCCTTGCTCCTCTCCTCTGAAAATTAATTCACATGAATTCTTGATTAATAATAAAAGGCCCTGCCATCAGCATTCAGAGCCCCAGCCGGGGCTGTCATGGCTCAAAGGGCAGAAATCTGCTTAGAGCTACAGGAGAACCCAACTGAATTTGTGGCGTCTCAGTCTATGAATGTGTAAGCACTTCATCTGTTCACCAAAGCACAATGTGCTGGAAAGCAGCAGGCAGAAGTAGCTGTACGTACGATGGACCACGAGCAGGGCTAGGTGGCAGTATGCAAGCATTGAAACCAAGGCGATAAAGCTGGTACCGCTATATTTCCTGATCAGGAAACTGTCCACACCAGGTATTTAGATTTACCAAGAAAAGGATCAAGCCAATTTACAATTTTAGACACTTATCTTTTTCTCGAGGTTTCTGGCAACGCCTGTATTATCTCTCTAGAGGGAAATGGTGTTTTGAGTTTGATGAGCAGAGATAGACTGGACGATGTCACTGTTTTTGTGAGGCTGGAAAGCCAGTGTCACTCATTTGCCCTCCACCTGGGACTGATGAAAAGCTGATGGCATGGCAGAAAGCCTTCTTCACCCGTGAACACAGTTCATCGGTCAAAAAAAGCCATTTCCCTCACTTCTCACATCTTTAAATTTGATGACATTTAGTGTACAAGGTGGGGAAAGGGAGGTATTCAGATCTTATTCTGCAAGTGTCTGCTGGTGTTGCTGAAAATAACGTAGAAAGTAAGTTTCTCATATGCTGCAGCATCACAGTTAGTACATCCCCACTTACTAGAAACCCAGTGGAAAGCTATTTTCAAGTAGATTATCCCTGGCTCAATGACCAAGTGTTTGTCTAACTGTTGTAGTACCTCATTACAACAACCCTAACCAGGGAATTTTGAAAAGGAGCGGCACTGAATTAACACACAAAGATTGATGATCTTTATCTTTTTCTCCATACCTCCTCATCTGTGACATTCACATCCACTTTTTTTGATCGAATGGCTTTGGTTACATAGTCAATGTTGTTTTCTCTGCAGTAATCAAAAATGTTCTTGTCCTCTTCCCTATTCAGGAAACAAAAGAAGCACCGTGTTACTTCACAACACAAAGGCCACATGCACATCATATGTTCTAACTTTGCTACAGACATTTCAATACTATCACTGGACTGAAACAGACACCTAGTATTGAGCATGCAGAACAATATGGGTGTTTCCCCAAGTTAAGAGACAAGATCCTGCTTCCTAGAAAACAAAAGTTGTTTTTAATAATATTATGTCAGGACAAAGGTCAGCTTATTCCTGTGAACTGGCACAAGAAGTCTATAAGGTTATCCAGCAAAAACCCCCTTAAAGTCCTGGTATAAGTTACTACAATCCCACAGAAGACAGAAGGCTCAAGCTGCTCTTCTCCCTGCCTCTACAAACTTTAAACAGCCACTCTGGGTCAGACCAAAGGCCCTTCTGTTGCCATCCATCTCAGACAGTGGCCACTAACAGTGGCCTGGAGAAAGAAAAGCAGAAGAAACAGGACACATGCAAAGCGATCTGTCCCTGGTTGGATCCTCCCAGCTTCAGAATCTCAGTGGCTTAAGATTTCTGTAGCTAGAGGCTGCATCCAGATGAGCGTATTTATCAGCTTTTTCCAGGTCCTTTTTCCATTCTATTCCGCTCTTTAAGCTATTCGTACTCTTGGCCTCTCTAAAGGACAAGCTCTACAACTTAGTATTCTGTGTGTGAAGGGGTGAATAGTGGGCAAGTACTTTCTTTTGGTGGCTTTAGAACAGATGCCTGTATTTACTGGGTACTCTTTGGTAAGTAATTGTCCAGGGATTTAGGAAATCTTTGGTGTTTGTCTTGGAACCCGGTCGCAGGGCTTGGTTTTTATTTTTTGATTTACCAACCTGCGAGTGACCCAACTGCACTCCTCCTTTTTGTGTTGCCAGTGTTAAGACAAAGCTTGACCACGATCTCTGCTCGGAACAGCAGGCTGGTGTACACAGAGGGACAGCACGTGTCTGTGCCAGGATGCCAGCCAGCGTGTGCTTGCTTAAACCTGCTTGCAGGCATAAAAGATCACGTTGTAGTGTCACAGGTGCTTGAATTACACCTATAGCTTCTTCTAGAGCTAAAAGCAATAGTCTGGCTTCGGACACGGTAAAACTTCTGTCCTTATCAGCCAAACAGAACCTCTAATGAAGTTAAAGACCTTTCACAGATTCATAAAACATTACAAAAGAGCTTTGTATGAGCGGCTGGAGCTAGAGTGCTTCATGGCAGTTAAAAAAAGCAAATGTTAGAAATCTTTAGCAAAGGGATAGAGCAGAACCGAGACATTTTTATTTTGGTGTATAAATCTCAATTCATGTATCTAATGATGGGAAACTACTGACATCAGCGTTGCTGAGAAAGTATAAACTCTCCTACCATCCATGCTGGTATGCCAGTGGAAGGTTGCTCATTCCAACACAGGCAGTTTTTTTCTGGAAAGGGGGCTATGCCATACTAGCATGAGGCACCTTTACAATAATACCTTTAGGTATAGATACATGGATACAGCTGTGTTGCTAGTAAGTAGTGAAAAGAGATCACTGGTTTTCTAGGGTAGCCCAACACCCACGTACAACCCTCTCTTTCTAGCTTCTGGATGAAAACTATGGCTCAGATGAACCCATCAGCATTGCTATGGGACTTGGCAGCTTGGCGAGTGTTAAACACAAAGTAGTTGCCTCTCATGACATCCCCATTTTTTCATCACCTTAAGACAGTCTGGATGTTCTGCTGAACTCAGACCTGACAGCTTCAAAGGAAATTCCTCATAAAAACGGGAGGTTGCTGGACCAGGTCAGACCCAGTAGGGAGGTGGTTCTGCTGTGGGTCTTTTGGGCAGGAGAGAACAGCCTCTGCAATGCAGCAGGGCAGTTTGAGAACTGATCCCCCAGCGCTCAAAGGCAGCAGCTCTCCTCCTATTCATCTGTACTGTTCTTGAACCTCACAGGCTGAAGAATGTCAGAGCAAGGAAAAGTAAAATCTAACCATTATTTGCATTTCTGAGCAATGGGTTACAAAGAAAAAGTGATGCTCTTCGACGTGCAGCCCCCCCCAGAATGAAAATACCAATGCTGCCAAGACCTTGTCCTGTGCTCCTATCAGGACAGGAGGAATTCCATGACACAACTTTGACTTCATCTTTTATCGTTATGCATCTAGCTTACCAAGTTACTGTCTAATTCTTCAGACCTCAAGCATTTGCTTCCTTCCTCACTGCCAGTAAAAGTTGGGAAAAGGTGCTGATACTCAGCCCTAGCAGTAGAGTGCTGCTTTCTCCAAAGAAGTCACTTCCTCTGACTTCTCTCTCACCTTGCTCCTTCAGTAGCACTGTTCTTCTGCACATCACCCCTATTCCTTATATACAAGCAGTCCATTCAAGCAACTGGGTTGCACCTTTCTAGTGAAGAGTGGGGTGCCACACAAGATTTCACACTCCATGTTTAGGCCTAGGGACATCACAGAAGTCTTCCAGTTTCTTAACCACTCTCTCATGAACTCATTTGTTGGAGGTCTTGTCCGCTCACTACACACAAGCTCCTGGGAAACAGATCACTGCATGCTTTGGATGCAATTACTTTGAATTCTGGGGAAAAAAAGAATCTCATGGTGGGATTAGAAAAGGCAAAAGCTTATATTGCTCGAGATGCAGCTTGACAGATTCATGATGGAGGTCGTGAGACATGCCTGCCCCTACTAACAAGGCCTGATTTGATATGCTGGCAAGTCCCTCCAGCCCTACCTTGTTAGTCCAACCTCTCAAACACACCCTTGGCTGCAGAAAGCAGCCTTTTGGGTGAAGCTGCTTTTCAGACAACACCGTACAATAACTTGGTTCCAGCAGCTTCTTCCCCATTGCACGGCCACACACACACCTCATTTATTATGGGATCGCTCTTTCTGCTGTACCACCGAAGCAGAGCCCAGTCTCTCCTTGCTAGAGAAGCCCACAACCATCCTCAGTTACTCCTAGAAGACTTTCCGTGTCACGCTGTGCCCTCCGTCCCTGGAAGTGATGCCACCCAGTCAGCCTGGGCACGGGCATTTCCACGTGCCGGGGTGGCTCAGCCCCTCCAGACCTCGCGCAGTGGGACCGGGAGGTACCTGGCAGGGGATGGTGCTCCCCAGGGAGTGGCTGCAGGGGCTGCACCCGCGGGGAGAGGGCACGTTAACACCGACGCACCAACACCAGGCGCTCTTCCTACCACAGCCTCCACACAAGACTCCTACAGTCTCTTCCCCGAGGATATTACAGTCTGTAAGGGGGAAATGACTCAACACAGCCATTTGGATATGATTTAGCTTTTCTGGAATAACCACCTCTGCAAATGCTCTATATATCCCTCTTCCAAAAAAACACTTTTCTCTCAGAAGTCTCCACAATGGAATTAATCCAGAACAGCAATTTCCCCACCCGAAGACAAGGTTTTGGGAAATTTCGTCTTTCTACTCTGCATTTATTTCTCAAGCTTTAAACCATTCCTCTGTTCCCGATGCCCCCTTTCAAAAAAATTAGCATAGATTATCTCCAGTTTTTCTATAAGTATTAACAACGATAAATTAGCCCTTTCCTGAACAGATTCAAGGGAAGTCCCATACAGTCATAACAAAGACATTTTACCCGCAAACAAAATAGTCACCTGAAGTTGCACTCCAGACATTTAAAACAATTTGACCTAGTCATGTCAAAACTTGGAAGGGAAACTGAGAAAAGAGCTCAGAGGAGTTAAAACCAGATTTTTGGAGGGACCAATACTAGGGAAAAAGCTCCACCTTAGTGGTGTGAATGGAATAAAGACGAGTTACTGTTACTTGCTGACTTTGCATTCAAAACCACACAGGACAAATAAGAAACACAGCTTGAAAACTTTGCAACTCAGGTTTTTCCTTCTTCCCTTTATTTCACATGTGTATATGTGTACATACTGACTGAATAATCCCTCCACTGTAGTAGCTACAAAAAAACAAAGAGGATGCACTGCTTTTATCAGACCAGTTCCTAGCAGGAATTTGCACTCCACATACAACTGGTAAGAGTCAGCAACAAGGCTCAGAAACTGGTAGAAACAGTCCAAAATCAGACAGAAGCACATCAGAAACACAAAAATAAATGATACTGCAATGATACTGATCAGATAATGTTGGGGGGGTGGGGGCAGATGGACGGGACATGACACCCCTAGCATTTCTATCAGTGTTTTCAGAAAAATCTCAATTTAAGTAAAAATACAGCATTCCAGACATCTTCAGATGGGAAGGACCAAGAAACTAGACCTAGTAGAGATGTGTACAATTATTTAAAACCTGTATCTAAAATGAAGACTCAGATGCAATTTTGTTTCCATGTCAGACTGTGTGATATACAAGTTCTGGCTCTTTTTGTTGAGCTAAAAGAGAGTCTTCAATTCAACGACCACTGGACTGTCAGTAAAGTCAGGGAATGTGTTTAACATCTATTTCCTGAGGATGGTCAGAAGGGTTTTCTCTTCTCCCTTGCTGACACATGTTCAACCTCCAAAGTTATTTCATTCTGCTCTCCCCCATCCCCAGTAGGAGATGCTAACTCTGATTTAACGTTGAGCTGAAGCATATCTGTTGAACACATGGACGGCTTTTTCTATCCTTGAATTAAAGGATGTGGAATAACTTAAACCAAGCCACCTCTCCCCGGGTTTGGAAGGCTTCACAAGCCTTCTTCATAAGCTGTCCAAAACACACGTGTTGAGCCAACAGTTTTTAAACAGCTCATGGAAGAGATCTGCTGCTGGTTAATTAGGCTTCTTTTCCTTCTTACCTGGCGTGCTGTAAGCCTCCTTGCTTTCTAAACAGCCACCAAGACTGCCGCGAAAAAGGGCCCAGAAGAGACTTGAAATTCAGCTCTTCGAGAGCATCCTCCAGGTTTGCCCCGTCCCCTTCCTCCCCCCTCGCAGGTTACCTCCGGCACAAAGCTCTGGGCAGAGGGCTGCGATCGATCGGGTGCTACTTGGGGCGTCCTCTCCCTTTTTCCGGGGGCTGGT